GAGAAATACTGAAAGTTTCAAAGAGATCTTCGTACTAGTAATATTCTAAAATAAATGTGAAGAATACAACCCCGGGCGGTGCCACTGACTGAAGTGTTTTTAGGCCTTTCCCAAAGGGGGTCATTTCTCGTTCTAGTGCACAGTAGAATTGTAAATGGGCTGATCGAACAAGGTCATGCTCATAACTGTCCCTGAACTACAACAGGGAACTATTGCTTCTTCTTTCCTAATCCTTACTATCGTCATTTTCCTCTGCTTCTTTTGTATGTTTGTCACACTCTTGTGACCCGCTATTTCCGAACTTGGTGCTGCTGAAGCTTGAGAGGTGAGCAGAGGAAGTCTGATTCCCTGTTAGGACTTCTCCGTTGACATCGACCCTCTACGTTCTTATACTAACAGTCTGACCGTCTAGCATCCACCCCTTGACGCTCATATGACCGTATGCAGATGCGAGCGCCTTAACACCTCTACTAAAACTTCTTTTTAACGGTACCAGCGACGGTGGTGTCGCGGTTAGGCAAAGATCGTGTAGAATCTTTGGGTTAGGCGTTTCGCTGTCGAACGCAGGAGACCCGGGGTCGATTTCCCGGGTGTGGAGTTTATTTTTTTCGAGTATTTTATAGATTATTATTGGTCTTTCTGCTCTGATGTTGTATCCCTTTCAGACCAGGTTGGTTATGACAAAGTCGGAAGCTCACCTACGAATGACCTAAATCATGTCGATTCTGGCGTTTAAAAAAACACTTAGGCCCTACATGTTTTAAAAATTGTTTAAAGGGATTTTTGTAAAATACGTGTCCTTCAAAAACAGGGTGCAAAGGAGAACAATCTCAAAGACTACCTCTCTGGGGGGACGTAAGCTGTGTTGTTGAAGTAGCACATTATTCTGGGTTGTGGGATAAGGGGTGGGTTGAGGGCTTTTTTGTTTTGTTTTTGTTGGGAGGGGGGTTGGTGTTGTTGGGGTTTTTTTTGGGGGGGTTGCTGTTGTTTTTTTTTCTTTTGTTTTGTTTTTTCTTCTTCCTATAGATCTACAATCAATCCATTTATTTGTTCCGTTCACGTGAAGAAGATTCCCGAGTTGGAAGAACATTTTAATCTAGTACATGTACCTTGGTTATTCTGTCTGCTGCGATGGTGTATCTATACCTGTCAACCCAGGTAGGCCGTGACAGGTAGGGTCGAAAACCCATCTCTCAAATGATATAAATTGCGTTGAAGCGGCCGTAAAAATTCCTATATCAAAATCATCATCCAGAATTAGTCGTTTTCAAAGAGAAGCGGGCTAACCCAGATTTTGGGGGTTTCCAGAAATATTGACCTACACCAAAAGTGGGCATTGCCTTACCTGTCGGAGAAATTTGGTTTCTTTCGTGTGTATATTTGTTAGGCTGCTGAGAAAACTCTCTTTGTCTTTTAAGATAAGATTTCATGGGTGCAAAAACTTTATCTTTAATTTTCTCAAAGCAGCATTTTTCGGGATAGCCCTCTTGTGCTTAAAAGCGACCAATTATAGTTGTTTCTGGATTTGAAAAATAAAAGGCCTTGTGTGAATGACGCGGGGTGTTTCTGTGATAACATTGTACTATGGACCGAAGTTCGCCTCAAGGACAGATAGAAATAACCTTGGTATGAGCATCTTTTATCTTGAACAAAATTATCTGATCAAGAACATCATTATGAAGACTGGCTAGGTATTGAAGGCAACTTCTAAGTAGACTACGTATTGAATTTTGAGTAGGAGGTTAGGTACTCGACCGCGTTACTCCCCTACTTAAAGTAAGAGAACCGTCGGTGAAAAAAAAAGGTTTTAAAACCGTTAGTCTGTTAGACTGTTAGTTGTCCCATTCCTCAGGAAGAAAGGGGGAGGCTTTTGTCTCAAAGGGTAGTGACGCAGCTACGCATTGGAGACTTTAAAAGCCCAACACTTCGTGGGGAAAAAAGTTCTTAAAAGTTTATGAATTGTGTAATAATAAAATAAATAAAAATAGCGTGATCGTCACGAGTTTTCGCTGTGGTAACGTAGATTGGAGATATGAGAGGGTGATATTACTGAAGTCGCACATATGACACATAATGAACATCACAATATCCGGGAACACACCCACTGATGGAGAGACAGTTGAGAGAGAGAGAAAAGGGGGGAGAGGGGGGAGAGAGAGAGAGACACAGAGAGAGGGAGAGACAGAGAGAGAGAGAGAGAGAGAGAGA